AGTGGCCAAGTTAGGGTGATAATTATAGCTGAAGATAATTAAAGACTTAATTGGGCTTGATAAACAGTTATGAATTGTTTATTGAATTGTTCTCACAAGGCACAGTAGCAATTAGAAGTTCTCTGAATTCATAAACATCTCCTATTCACAGTTTGTCCCTGTGTCACACTTCTCTTCTCTCTTCTCCTGCTGGTTAGAAAGATAGATAGATACCACACTTTCAAGAGTAATTAGATTTTTAAATAGGTAGGTGGCTTTGATGTTTTTTGAGAGATCTTGTGTTGGATTCAAATGTCGCTTTGTGAAACAAAACACTATGAAATCCCTGAAGGTCTATTCAGTAGTTTACACAATTGAGGATAGGCTTATTCTTTCTGCTTTCTCTTAATGTTCCATCATTTTGTATTTGAAATAATTCAAAGGTCAAAGGGGACAGTCTTGAGAATGTTAATAACATACGACAGACCATAGGAAGAGGCAACAAAAAGCCGTATTTACAAGTTGAAAAATGAATAGTGAGATTACAGACATTTACGGTACTACAGAGGGTTCATAACGTAGACCTAGGCTAATTGGCATGTAACCTGGTCTGGCCAGTGTTTGTATCAGCTCTGCAATTACTGTAACAATGGTTTCCTCAAAGTAAGCCATATTCATAAAGTTTTTACTTTGTCTACCCCCTGCAGTAGAAGTTCTTTTCAGTAATATATTTGAACAGAAAGAATCTGTTACCACCAGTTGTGTTGCTACTGGGCTTTCGTACTCTCTCATCATGGATTTATTATGCACGCTGCGTGTTATTCCGGCCTATTTTTTGCTAGTTTGAATTTGTTTTGAGTTTCATACTGAACCAAGATGGCAATTAAAACTTGTGTTGCAATCCTGTTAGCAATTATCACTTGTGATCAGTTTCATCTCAGTATGTCCAAGCCAACAGAGTTAATAAGTCTGAGGCACAAAGAATTCACACTCTTCTACAAATGGTACTCGCTGCTTGCCTATGCACATTTAGTCACATTCACTTATCCACACATACTGATAAAAGCACAAAGACTTCTTTATCTAATTCTGCACAACTACTCAACAAATACAAAAACATTTGCAGAATTTTTATATAAAAATCTCATTTTATGTGTAGGGTTATCTCATTACTATAAAACTGCCATTTTCTACAGCAGTGACATCCTATTATTTAAGCCTATAGATTTAAAGATCTCTCCCTGCATTGTGTTCCATCCAAACATCCTGTTCTAACAGGAAATACATTGAATTAAGGAAGAAAAAAGCTCTCAAAATGCTGTGTCAAAGTGACTGTACTGTAATGTCTGTTGGTATCAAAAATCCTCCCTCATTCTCTCTCTAGGTTGAGTCTAGCCATCCATGAAAATGCTGTTCAATATTTAATTACAACCAGCCAGAAAGTGACCAGCGAGACGAGTGAAACAATTTAGCTCAAGTACAGTCCTGTAGGTTGCTGAACACAAGTTTAATGTAATTGGTTAAATCATATATCAATTATGTAAAAACTTGAACAGAACTGATCCCATTCAAGTCACCATACATAAAGGTTACAAGCAGACTGCAAATTAAAAGACACCTACTGACTATTTTATTCTGTCTTCATCAGTCTGAGCATCGGTGTAAGCTTTATTCAGTGTTTTTTATATTTGCTTTTTTCATAACCACTTACACCAACAAACTCCCAAACTGAAATGTGTTCTGTCAACACAAAATGTTTGACTACTATACTTGCTTTAAGTCAGATATGTATTGCATTTGTGTATTACAAAAGACTGAGACCTAACAGCAAATTATCATATAGATTGTATTGTTTTCTTATTGTGAAATGATTTGCAGTTTGAATTAATAAGCTATATCCGTGTTTCTGAAAATAGTTGGGCAGTAATTTTGAAACTATTTTGAACTTCCAAATACAAACTTGGCCTCAAAGATAAAATTAGCCTCTATCTATCTTGACAAACTGCAGTCAGCTTACTGTCAAGATGTTAGTAAGAGTCAAGAGATATAGACATTATAAAATGTGTGTCTATGATTTTCTGTGTGGATCAGCAGTCTTGCAGGTCAAGATTGCCAGACGAAGAATACTGAAAAACATCTGGTTATGTCTATTTGAATCTCCATAAGTCTTTGTACCGTATGCTTACAACTAATAAGGACATTTATATTTCCTTTATATGCCATAAAAGTCAGACATTCAAAAAACCGAGAGGGTAGTTTGAATAGGCACGATGGCAGTGACAGGGTAATTGCATCAGAAAGGTGCCGCCACAGTTTCAATCCGCAGAACTCCCAGAGGTTCCTCAAGGGACTTTTTCTTTCTGAGGATTTTTTTTTTAATGAATATATTGTATATCATTAGTTTCCAGTGCACACATTTTCGAATGCTGACAGACCACGTGTTAAAAAACACTTTAAGCGTGACCTGTTCATTTCCACAATCCATTAAATTACATGCGTGTGTGTGTGTCTGAAACTCTGGTTATGGTTCATAACGACTCTTATTTGTGGCATAATTTCAACTATAAAGAGGGATAACATAGCACTTCTCCCATAAATTGAGGATAAGTGAAATAGAAAAAAAAAATCACATTCACAGCGTCGCACAAACACTCACACACATAATCATGCAAACAATCACTGTCCATTCGGGTCTGCAGATATCAATTGTGCTTTCTCTGCAAACAGATTTATGCCAGTGAGGTAAATTGAGGTCTAGATTAATTTAGCACTAGTATATCAGGTTGACAGACTGTGTGTGACTGTGCATGCTATTAGGAGTGGTGTCCTGTGTCGTGTGTGTGTGTGTGTGGTGGTGTGTGTGTTTGTGTGTTGTGTGGTGTGGTGTGTGTGTGTGTGTGCGTTTGTGTGGATGTGCTGAATGTGTAGACTCTGTGAATGTGTGTATGCATTCTGTGCTGGTGCATAAGGGCAGGGATCGTATGAGGCATATACATTTAAGGCAAATGAAAGCTCTCATGTTTGATTTAACTATCCAGCAGGGAAATGGGGAATCACATGTCAGCAGGGTTCACACACACACACACAAGCACACACACACAAGCACACATTTATGGTTTCACACCTTTTCTCATATACATACACGCCTCTTTGGGTATATATTTTTCCCTGTTCAAAATAATTACTCTGACAGACACAAACAGAGGTGAGAAGAAAGGGTTAGGGCATACAAAGGTAAGCGCACGCAAAAAATATACACACATCATGAGTATATGAAGACGTGCATGTACAAAGCTCCTATGTAGTCTTGCATAAGCCCAAATATTGACAAATAGACAGAATTCATTATCTCAATCTCACCACCCAAGCAGCACTCAAAGGAAGGCTGCTCTGGGTGATTGGATCATTTCCTGGTCGTGACTTAAGCCTGCAAGGCAGATCAATACTATGGCACACACACACAGAGCAACATGGATCAATGTATATCAGTTACCTTTCTGTTGAATTCAGTATAGGAGAGTCATGTCAGCCTGGTCGTTCCTTCAGCCTCCCAACCTCTTCACCCATTTGGACTACATGCCAAATTTAACGGGCCAGAGGAAGGACAGTTTTTTACTTCTGTGTGTGTATGTGTGTGT